TTAAATCCAAACTGTAGCAGTCCTTTTCTGTATCAGTAGTACTCAGTCAGGAAGAGGGGAGTGGTTTCCCTACTTGCCTCACTCCCAGGGACATTTGGTGGTGTCTGGGAAAATTTTTGGTTACAACTATGTAGGGAAATGCTGCTGACATCTAGTGAACGGAGATCAGGTGAGCTACTAAATATCTACCATGCACAACACAGTCCCCCAACAACAAAGAAATGTTGTGGCCCTAAATATCAGTAGTGCCAAGGCTGAGAAACCCTAATCTTTATACTGTGATTATCTCATCTAATTTCATGGCTATAAATGCAGTTTATGTGTGGATGACTTTCATATCTATATTTTCAATATAGACCTATTGAGCCAATTTAGATGTAAGTAAGATGCCCAGCATCTCCATTTGGATGTCTAATGGACATCTAAAATTCCATCTGCAATCTTCCTATCTCAGGGAGTGGGAACTATCCTCATTGCTCAGCCCAAAAACTTTGATTATTTCTTTCTCCCCTTGCACTCAGTCCAAAAGGAAACCCTGTTGGCTGTACCTTTAGAATGTATCCCAAATTTGTCCACTTCTTACCATTTCCATTACCTTGGTACAAGCTGTTTTTATTGCTTACTTGGATTGCTATAATACTTTCCGCAGTAGTCAGTATAGCACTGAGAGTATTCGTTTTTTTTTTTTCTTTTTAATTGAGTTTATTGGTACATTTTAGGGATACAGTACAGTTACATTCATTGTTAGGATCTTGTACCTTTACATGACAGGTCTTGGTTCTCATTTTTTCCCCTTGTCCCTGCCCTCCCTTCACCCACTCCTCCCCTCCCCGTTTACAACCACTTTATTTCCATCTTTTCATTTTCTCACATTTTTTCTTTTCTATTATTACCATTCCCCTACCCATCCCACCTTCCCTACACCTTTCGACTTTTTCTTCCCATTTCACAATGTCAGTTATCTCATTAGGATCTTATGTACTATTACAGTTTATTCACACCAGAGAAACTATTCGGTATTTACACATGTGTAATGTTTATTTATTTCACTTAGGAGTATATCCTCAATATGTCCTCAATATGTGTCCATTTTCCTATGAATGAATCTAATTTCTTGTTCTTTATGGCTGAGTAATATTCCATTTTATAGAAAAATCACATGTTTATCGAGTTTCCAACGGATGGGCAATTGGTCTGTTTCCAAGTTTTAGCTATTACAAACTGTGCTGCTATAAACATGGGTGCGCATACATCACTGTGATATAATTCTTTTAGTTCTTTTGGAAAGATATCCAGCAGAGGGATGGCTGGGTCAAATCAACCTCTAGTCCCAGCTCTTTGAGGTATCTCCATATTGATTTCCATAGTGGTTGCACCAGTCT